TTTAGTCATTAAAAAAGATAATCTCTGTTTTTCTAATCCATATTTTAAATAGAATACTGTGTGATCTTTAATCCTGAGCAAAAGTATTCTCTTCTAAAAAGAATAATGCACATTATTAGGTATAATACAAAAAGCATATCTGAAAGTTACTAATAGATCGATAAAACTTGACATTTGTTTGTGCATAATTGAATGGTAACATTGCACCATTATTGTTACAAAACAGAGTATTAAATTATATAAAACCAAAGGAATAAAAGAGTTACTTAATTCAGCAACTTTGGTTTTTTTTTTCATTTTAACAAGATCAGAGCATGATCATAGGCTGAAATTGTGGTCATTACAATGTACCTAAGTACAACACACCAGTAAAAAGCATTTGTTAGTTGGCGATTTCCAGGAGAAAAGATAAAACAATTTTTTCTGTGTATTTGAAACTATTATGTTAAACAGTTTGTTGATTTTATGTGGCTTTTGGTTTTTGGTAACACCCGGACGTCTTTTGCATTTTAGCTTCAGAAGCCCATTTAAGGGTTGAGCAAATGTGTGTATTTGTCATTCAGGAAGAGTTTCATAGATGTTCCATTTATTTTTCTGCAAATGTAACATTCTGGTTAGGGGGCACTCAAACAGCAAAACAGAGAACAGGAACTCAGATCAACCTATAAGCACATCAGGGCCTCACCAGTGTCATGAGGAAAAGAAAAGAATTTTTAAAATAATTAAAAAGGCTAAGGTAGTTGCTGCCAGACTCCAGAGTCACAGTGACTCTGAGTCTGCTTAGTGCTAAATGTAGGGGGAGGTGAGAGAACTATGGGCCTCCTTTGCATAAGGAATTTTTTGCCTTTTAACCCTTGCTTAACTCTGAGCAAGGGTTAAAAGGCAAAAAAATTCCTTATGCAAAGGAGGCACGTGATTCTCCTGCCTCCTGATCTGGGAGCAGCCAATCATGCCTTGCCTAAGTAAGTTGCTTTTTTATTTAATTTTTTACATTTTCATCATGGTGGGTGGACAAGAGGAGAGTTGAAATCCACAGCTGGAAAAGGTATGTGGATCGGACGGACAGAGGGAGGGGATTCAAAATTATTATAATTGAATTGTGGGGTCGGAGGAGGCGGGGGGCAAGATGGTGGCGGAGCGTGGCAGCATCAGGGATGTTCTCACCGCTGTGTCCAATAGGCCAGGCATCTCGCATTTATGTCCACCATAAACGCGAGATGCCTGGCCTGTTGGACACAGCGGTGGCGGGGGGAGGAATGGGCTGGGTGGGCTGGCTGGCTGGAGAGGGGGAAATCATGGCCGCTCAGGCCCTGGCGGGACCGAGTCCCGCTCTATGGCGGGTAGCGCCGGGACTTTGAAGTCCTGCCACCGGGGCCTTGCTGCCACTTTAAAGCCCTGCTGCCCGGGACGAGGCAAGGAAGACTTCCTCGGTCAGGGCCAAGAGGGACGTCGGGAAGAGCTACATGTGGTGGCCGGCCTCGGGGGCACTTGCGTTCAGGGCAGGAGCCCTCTCTAGCCCGCCCCGAAACTCCTGGAGCGAGGCAGAAGCCGGCCCGCCTGGTTGAGTTCTGAGGGAGCCGCCTCGGGCATCGCAACTCACCCTGCAGCTGTCCAGCAAGAGGACCAGGCGAGTGAGGGGCCCCGTGTCCAGCTCAAAGCGGTGCAGCGGTTCCCCGGTGAAGAGGTCCCACCAGACAACGCAGGAGTCCCAGCTCCCAGAGAGCAGTCAGGAAGGTGCCAGCCGGCCAGGCAGCACTAGCAGGGCCGTCACGCCACTGCTGCAGCTCAGCATGCGTACCGTGGCGGCATCTGCGAGAAAGAGTTGGGCGGGTAGCGGCCAGTACCGCCAGGATTACCCCCCCTCCCCATGTTTCTGCAGCCCAGTAGCCCCGGCTGAGGTGGGCATTGCGTGGGGCTCCCACTGGCCCCTGGGAGCAGGCGGGAGAGGAGTGGGTGGCATTCCACTCCCCCTTCCAAGCTCCGAGTGGTCAGCCTTTCACCTCTGCGGCTCTCACTCCAGCCTCGTCCGGGCTCCTCCTTGGTGGGCCTGCCGGAGCTCTGGGAGAAAGTGGAAGAAGCCGAGGCTGGCCACTCGGGGCTTGGAAGGAGGAGCAGAATGTGGGTCCTCTGTTCCTGAAAAGTCTGTGGAGGGAAGTGGGGCTGGCCCGTTTCATCCTGGGGCTGCTTGGAGATGGAACCGGGGCTGTGGAGACTCGCCCGCGGCCGGCTTCTCTGGAGCAGAGGGGGGGGGCGATAGAAGTGGAGATGAGCCTCTTGCCGCTGCGAGCCTGGCTTGCAGAGTGCAAAAAGGGGAGGGGGCCTCTTGGAACACACCACCCCACCCCTCTTCGCCTTTCGCCTCCGCGGCTCTTGCTCCAGCCTGGGCAGGAACTGGCACTCTTCTGCTGCGGGCGGGACGTACTCCTGGTGGACTGCAGCTCCGGCGCCTGCAAGGTGGAAGTGTTTGCCCTGCGGGACGGGCAAAAGCCAAAAGAAAGCGCCCCACTGCTTTTGTCTGGGTCGGACATAGCTGCGGGGCGTAGGATGCCTCTATTTCGGACATAGCTGCTGCAGGGGGGGCCCAAAAGCCACTTTCTTTCTTTTTGCCTCACCAGCTATAAGTACGTCACTGAAGCACATAGGACATGCACCTCCACAGAATATGCAGTCAGGATTTGTGCTGTGCATGTCAGCCCGCATGCAGCCTTCTGCAATCTATGCTAGTTTAGAAAAACACTTGATGGCCGTGACCAGAGGGGCTTTTTACCAGGTTCGCCTGATACGTCAGTTGCGCCCCTTTCTGGATCGGGATGCTCTGTGCACAGTCACTCATGCTTTCGTCCTTTCTCGCCTGGACTACTGTAACGCTCTCTACATGGGGCTGCCCTTGAAAAGCACCTGGAGGCTTCAACTGGTCCAGAATGCGGCTGCGCGGGTTATCATGGGGTACCTAGGTACTCCTATGTTACACCCCTTTTAGGCGGCCTGCATTGGTTGCCGGTTGTCTTCCGGGTGAGATTCAAGGTACTAATTATGACCTTTAAAGCGCTCCATGGCTTAGGACCAGAGTTCCTGCAAGACCACCTACTGCCATCAGTAGCCTCCCACCGTCCAGTGTGATCCCAGAGAGTTGGCCTCCTCAGGGTGCTGTCGGCCAGACAGTGTCAGCTAGCGACCCCAGGGGGAGAGTCTTCTCTGTGGGAGCGCCTTCCCTCTGGAATGAGCTGCCCCTGGAGCTTTGCATAATCCCCAACCTCCAGACCTTCCAACGCGCTCTAAAAAGTTGGCTTTTCCAGCAAGCCGACCTGGCCTGAATAGAATAAAATATAGGATTAATTTGGTTGTTAATTTTAATTTAATTTTAAATTTTTATTGTAAATATCAATTGGTTTTTTTTTGGATATTTTATTTAATATCCCTTTTAATTTTTGTAATATGTGTTGTCTTTTATGTTGTACGCTGCCCTGAGTCTTTGGGAGAAGGGCGGCATATAAATCCAATAAATCTAAACACCTAAAACCTAACTTATGAGTACTCCTGAATCCCTTTGTAGTAAAGCTATGTGGCGACAGCTACGGGCAGTTGCGGAAAACCTTAAATCGATCTTTAGCCATGCTTTCCTTCTTTTATTGACCTATTTATATTCCTCTTTTATTGCCAGCATTTGCTAGGTAATATTATATGTTGTAAAGAAAAGAACAACAAAAGCACTGTTGAAACTTGAAAGCATCTCAACCACAGAACCTATCATTTTACAGCACTTACAAGTGATACCAGTAACACATTTTTGAAACAATGTGTAAGATGTGGCATAAAGCAGCGGCTCCCCACCTTTTGGGCACCAGAGACTAGTTCCATGGAGAGGTTTTTCCACAGATTGGGTGTTTGTGGTTTTGCATGCTGCCTGCATCCCGCGGATGGGGCTTTGCTTGCTTGCATGGCCCAGTTCCTGGCATGCCGCCACAGACCAGGGTTTGGGGACCCCTGGCTTAAAGGACAGTGAATCACCATTTAATTGTTTGCCTGAACTTTTTCTCTCAGCAGCATGATTGAACCGAGCATCCTTGCTATCAGACAAGTGAGTGACAAGAGAATGAGCAGGCTGGGTGGCAGTTGGCTTCCTCTGCATGCCTCTCTTTCTCCAGAGCCATCTTTCTTAATGGTGAAAGTTTGAAGATGTATGGACTTCAAATCCCTTCAATTCCATCTTCAAGTTGCCACAATTGAGCAAGGCTGCTCTACAGTCTAGAGACCAAAAGAAGGATTTTATATTACCTCAAACAAGTGATGTCCAAGAGGACAGCATTACCTATGCTGTCCAGAGGCAGCATTAGCTATGCTTTGTCCAATTCTTCCTGACAGAAAAAGGAAAGGCTCGGAAATTGATTGGATATTTTATGGCATTTAAAATGAGTTCATGCCACAAATTGCACAATACGAAATCCAGTCCAGAATGTATTTAACTCACTATCACTAGGGACCAGAATTTAACAGGCTCAGGGGGAAAAAAAGTAGATAAGGCCACGTTATAGCTAAATTTGATACGATTAAAAATTAAATAGGATTAAAATCTGTCGTTTATAATTTACCCAGTTGTGAATTGTGGGATCGACTGACCCTGCAGCTCTTTTGCCACAGCCCCCGCTCCCCGAAATTAGCTGCCATCGAGGATGAACTTGGCTGCGGGTCCCGTGTTTCAACTACGCCCATTTCTCGCTGCACCGCCGGTCGGGAGAGGGCCAAAGGGCTCCAGGTCCTTCTTTTGCTTCCGATGGGAACAGTCTTTGCTTCTCTGCCCGGCCTTGCGGCAACTGTACTCTTCAGGCGGCAAAATATTTCCCCAAGGAGGCGTGGGGGGAGAGGAAGGCATTGCGAAAGTTTTGGACCCGCAGCAACATTAAAAAAAAAAAAACTTTGGGCGGAATTGGTGCGATTTATTATGCGGCAGCACGTGGCACCTCCCGATTCTCCGCGCCTCGAACCAGTCAACAAAGCCTTTCCCCACCCTGCGCCAGGGGAGTCGCTTGCGTGCAAGCCGGCGGCCAAAACGGGGCTGATTCCGGTCGTCTCCTCCCTGCCTTTCCTTCCCTTTTTATGCCCTGTCTCGGACAGGCGTGCATGCTGTGGACTCGCCCGTTTAGACTCCGAGGTTGCTGCGTGCTTGCTGCTTGGCAGGTATATCCCCCTGGTTTTTTCTTCTCCCCCTTTCTCCCTCTTGGTGCACTAACGCCGGCGAAAGGAAAGGGGCGGACCGCGTGACTGGTGTGGGTCAAACGATATCTCGGCAGCAACGCCGCAATTGTGGTGCTGGCTTTCTTATTCTTTCTTATTCTTTACTGGACGGGAAGAGGAAGCAGGAAGGCGAATAGTTTCATTGCGCATAGAAAGAAGCAAATTCCCTCCCCTAAGTGTAGCAGGCAGTCGCTATAATCGATTGGTGTTTCCAAGCCTTTGCTTGAATCTGACTGTTTAAAAATCAATCCGCCGTGCAATTCTGTCATCCGCTGCCTCTTTTTCATTCTCTCCTCCCCTCCTCCCCTCCTCTCTTTTCCGCTCAAGACTTGTCAACATTACTAAATTATAATAACTACACTAAGCTTAATTCTCAGTAGGGCGGCTGTTTTTCGGAAATTCTCGCTTCTGTCGTCGTCGTTCCCCTCTCTCCCTCTATTTCTGCTGATTTTGGCATTCCCGGTTTCCCATGGTAAAGTTTCTGTCTGGTCGATGACTTTCAAAAGTCAGTTGTGCTTTTAAAAAGAAAAGTCCTTGCAACGATGAAGCTAGTAGTTGGAATTGGGTTATTGACCAGTTATCACTCCTCGATTTTCCTAATTTAAACAGAGATGGCTTTTAATTTTTTAACCAAAATGCAATTTGCAGATATTTAATAACACTGTATCTTTTATTTTGAGTAAAGAGTGAGGCATAGTGGCAGCTATTGTATAATAAGAACAAGCAGATGATGAATTCAAAATTAAGGCTTAAAATATTTTTTGTAGCCATAAAATGTGATTAGGTAAATTACAGTTATAAAGTATATTTTAAAATATAGGGATTAATTCCATAGATATGGAATGTTGCACTGTGTATTATTTTTGATCTCTTTCGAGGAATGTTTGAAGCAATAATTATGCAATAATTATTTTTAAGAATTATGTCCCAATAGAAACAATTGATGAGAAGATTACGATTAATACATGAATTTTGAGGGTCTTTTTGGAGATTAGCAGTCAGTGGAGCCATTGCAGAAAAGGCCCTGCTGATGCTTGCCAAGTTCTGTGCTCTTAGTTCTGCCTGCCAATTTTGACAACTTAAGTTGTGTGGACTTGAACTTCTCAGTAGCATTGTTGAAATCAGCGATCTTACTTCTCCCAATATAAGGTGGTTACTTTATGCATGAGTAGATGTTTCTTTGACCTTGAAGAGGGCACTATTAAATGTAATTAAGCTTCCCCAGTTAATAACTAGTCCAGAAGACAATACATAATGAGGTTGTTGGATCGGATGGCACAAAAACAGCCAGAAAAGTGATTCAAGCCTGAGAAAAACAGGCCCCTCCTCAATTAACAGGAGTGCTGATTTACCCCCAGCTTATCAAATACTTAGGAGGTAAGGCAAAAGGAAACAACATCCAACTACTTAATAGCTAGCCATCAACTTCTCAATCTACATTTTAAAAGCTACACACAACAGGCATCATGTAGACACCACACACAGAACAGTCCAAAGTACACAGAAGTTTCCTGTCGATGGGCTCCAGTATGACTCTGAAAGCTTGGAGGACAAAACTTCTTATCCTGTTGACCTATCTAGATTGGATCCTATAACATTACACGGATATAAATATAGTGGATACAGTCATGGGGTTGATATAATATATAAATGTGTACGTATTCTATTTATCCTAAAAGGAAAATGACCCTGAAGAAAGAAAAAACAAGAAGAAAAAAATATATAGACATGCATATACAGTATTCCCAGCCTAGCCTTGAGATTACCCACCCAATAAAATGTTTGTATATGTCACACATGAATACATATATGGATTTGTGCACATCTACTTGTTAAAGACTGTGCTTCAAAAAAGGGCAGGACAGGGCAAAATATTAATAGTAATTATAATAGGACACCACGTAGTCCTCAACCAGGGGTTCCTGGAAGAGGTTCCACAAATCTACAGTGCCGTTTAGAACCAGTTCCAGCTCCCTCCCCCCGCCCATCCCCACATCATCAAGATGAAGAGCAAGAAGAGGAATTCTGGGAGTTAAAGTCTACAAGTCTTAAAGCTGTCAAGTTTGTACACCTCTGGGGTTTTTTTCTGAAGGGTTAGGGCTGCAAGGGTCTTGTAACTTGACAGCTTTAAGACTTGCGTGCTTCAAATGCCAGAGTTTCTGAGCCAACATTTTGGTTGCTAAGCAAGAGCATTGTTAAGTGAGTTTTACCACATTTTGCAAGTTGGCCACACCCGCCCAGCCACATGACTGCTAAGTCACTCCCACCCAGTCACATGGCCAGCAAGCCACTCCCACCCAGTCACATGGCCAGCAAGCCACTCCCACAAAGCAGGCNTCAACTCCCAGAATTCCTCCTCCAGTCATGTTGGCTCAGAAACTCTGGCATTTGAAGCATGCAAGTCTTAAAGCTGTCAAGTTACAAGACCCTTGCACCCCTAATCCTTTAGAAAAAAACAACAACCCAGGAGTGTTCAAACTAGGCAGCTTTAAGACTCGTGGGCTTCAACTCCCAGAATTCCTCCTCCAGTCATGTTGGCTCAGAAACTCTGGCATTTGAAGCATGCAAGTCTTAAAGCTATCAAGTTTGAACATCCCTGGAGTTTTTTTTTCTAAAGGGTTAGGGGTGCGAGGGACTTGTAACTTGACAGCTTTAAGACTTGTGGACTTCAACTCCCAGAATTCCTCCTCCAGTCATGTTGGCTCAGAAACTCTGGCATTTGAAGAATGCAAGTCTTAAAGCTGTCAAGTTACAAGACCCTTGCACCCCTAACCCTTTAGAAAAAAAAACCCCAGCGGTGTTCATACTTGACAGCTTTAATACTTGTGGACTTTAACTCCCAGAATTCCTGCTCTCGCTCTTCATCTTGATGATGTGCGGACGGGCGGGGGGAGGCAGCTGGAACCGGTTCTAAATGGCACTGTAGATTTGTGGAACCTCTTCTGTAGAAGAGGTTAGAACTGGCAGGAACCCACCCCTGATGCACAGCACGTATGAAGCGCGTGCGCAGTGCACATACAAGCGAACCGGCAGTAGTCTCTGTTGGAACCCACACCTGGGTTTTACATATACTAACCACAACCAGAATTGTATTTGCACAACAATGGAAAAATGATGAGATTCCGTCACATGAGAGCATCATTAAGAAAATCATTAGAATGCACAGAAATGGATAGATTATCACTCACTATTAAGGATAAAGGCGAAACTGAATGTTTTTTTGATATGTGATGTATTTTATTCAGGGCTAGACAACAGAAACAGAAGTCAGAAAGGCAGAGATATAAAAAGAGGAAATATTAATGTGGAGTGTTGTTAAAGAAGAGGTTAAGTATTATTGTTATTACATTTTCAATATTGTTGCCATGAATACTACAACGAATGTTTGAATCATGATTGTTTAAAATTAACTGTACCCAGTTCACATACTGTTCAATGGAAATTGAATGTTATATGAATTAAATAAATAAAACATGGGGAAAAAGAAGAAGATAGAAAGAGCAGCCTTTTGGAGACAATACCTCCTTCACTTGGCGGCTTCCCAAATTTTGCAAAGAAGCTGCTGAAGGAGGCAATCCTGAAGGCCCATTGCTTTATAGTAGAATGATTATTAAGGGATTGACATTTTGGCAAGAATTTGCTTCCCGGGGAGGAGAGCTGTGCTAGTCTGCAGCATAGGTGGCATTCAGCAGTTTCTGCCCAGTTCTGGAGAACTGGTATCAAAAATTTTGAGTAGTTTGGAGAATCGGTAAATATCATCTCTGACCACCCCCATCTATTCTCTGCCTCCTGAGTCCCAACTGATCAGGAGGAAATGGGGATTTTGCAGTAACCTTCCCCTGGAATGGGGAGGGAATGGGGATTTTGCCATAACCTTCCCCTAAAGTGGGGAGGAAATGGGGATTTTGCAGTAACCTTCCCCTGGAGTGGGGAGGGAATGGGGATTTTACATTATCCTTCCCCTGGAGTGGGGAGGGAATGGGGATTTTGCAGTATCCTTCCCCAGGAGTGGGGTGGGAATGGGGATTTTGCAGTATCCTTCCCCTGGAGTGGGGAGGGAATGAAGTTTTTGCAGTATCCTTCCCCTGGAGTGGAGAGGGAATGGAGATTTTGCAATATCCTTCCCCTGGAGTGCGGTGGGAATGGGTGGGAATGGGGATTTTGCAGTACCCTTCCCCTGCAACACCCACCAAGCCATGCCCACAGAACCCATAGTAAAAAAAATTGAATCCCACCACTGGTCTGCGGTGACCCAAAATCAGAAGAAATCTGATAGCGCCTTTTCTGACTATGATAACACATGTTATTAAAAGGTAGAAGGCTTCAGGAGATGTAGCCCACTTCATCAGGTTGTGATTGTGTCACCAAACCACAAAACTGTAGTGACCCTATTTTGATATAGTGGTTAGTGTTCCAACAGCAGAGATTATTTGTAGCTCAGAGTTGAATGGTGGGATTCTTGGTGCTTTCTGGGCTTCATGGTTTTCTTGCAGACGTTTCACTACCCAACTAGGTAGTACCATCAGTGCTAATAGGAAGAGGGGTTTCCTCTCTTTTGATATGCTAGTGGCTTGCTCTGTCAGTATTGGTGGGAGTGTTCTGGGTGATTCTTTGACTGGGTTATTGTTTATTGCTTGATTATAAATCATGTAATCATAATTTTATTTATATTATAGAATATAAAAAGATATTGAGACTCTGGAAAGAGTGTAGAGAAGAGCAACGAGAATGATCAGGGGGCTGGAGGCTAAAACCAGAGGTCGGTTCCAGTGGTGAGTTCCAGATCCCGTTCCAACCAGTACAGTTGGAACGGGCCCGGTGGCGTCCACATGGATGCGTGCGGCATGCACATGCGTCTTAGCGCCTCTGCAACATTCCAGCTGCTCAGCGGAGTGTCCCGCATGCACTGTATGCACCGTGTACAGAAGCGCCGAAGACTTAAAAGACCAGTAAGGAGCTCAGGCG